CAGCCCCTGTGGCTGCCCACGCTGCCCAGAAGGGCCTGGTCCCTGAATCTCAGTGGGGACCTCCAAATCCCTGTTTGCAGCTGTGGGATGGGCGGTTGCTATGGAGATGTCACTTCCCAGTCCTTTCTCCTGAGAGAGCAGCTCTGGCTTTGGTAATTAGTCTGCCCGGGATGCAGGAGGCATCCAGAGCATCTGAGTCACGGTGTCTCCAGTGGGCAGGGAGCCAGGGCCCAGCCCCTTTTTGGTGCTGGAGCTGGGGCATCCGAGCAGCACCACACTGCGGTTTCACGGTTGGGGCTGGATCCTGACGCTGCTTCCCACCTTCCACCTGCCTGCCTTGCTGCCTTTGCCGGCAGGGATGGGCAGGTCTCAGGCCAGAAGTGGTGGATGCCTCCTGGGGGAGAACCTGTCATGACAATGGAGGAGGAATTCAGGAAGCATCCTATCCATAATGCCATGCACCGGCGCATCCGACCCCACAGGGAGCAGCTGTGCCATGCCTGGGGCTGCTTGGGAAGGTCCCAGCTTGAATCCCAAGCAGGTGTGAGCCCTGGCTGAGCGCTGGCCCCGGGGCAGGGCAGGTTGGGCCTGTGATGGAGGGAGCTCCATCGACCTTGGTGCTGTATGGCCTCCTTGTCCCCAGCAGTGGCAGGGAGCAGCTGTGTGCTGTGGGCACGGGAGCTGTGCTGCACCAGCCCGCAAGGTCATTTCAATGTCGCCTAACATGTCTGATGGCTGGATCTCATGATTACCCTGCTGGTTTGGGTTTCTTCTGATGCATCTGTTGTTTCAGAAAAAAAAACCACCGTAAACGCACTATGAGGGGAAAAAAAAAGTGGTGCGTGAGGAGAAGAAGTGATGCAGTTTCCAATTTCCATGGCAACGTCCTTTTCAGCAGGGGATGGGAAAAAGCAGGCTCTTGTTTCCGCTGGCGGTGTAACACGAGGCGTTAATCACCCTGCTGGGTCTGGGGACCCAAAAGAAAGCGCAGGGGAGGAGAGGCTGGAGCCAGAGGGGGCCTGGGGGAGCCCCGAGGGGCTGCGGCTGCTCCCACCCCACAGCACCGACGCATGCGGCTTTGGGCATGGCCCCTGCAGCTGTGGGGTGAAGGAAGGCTGTGACCCTCCCGTCCCGGTGCCAGGCTCCCATGGGCAGGTGCCAAAGCAGGAAGGAGCCATTTCCCGCACTCCGTGCCCAGCAGGATGATTGGGCAAGGCGCTGCCCCGCTGCCTCGGCTGGTGCAGGCTCTGCTGGCTGTGGCACCCACCCCCTCTGCTGGGACTGTTGGGATCTGGGGGCTCTGGATGCATCTATGGAGCTGGAGGGTCCCGGTCCCGCTTTCCAGGACTGTTTTGGACTGAACCCCATCACCCTTCTCCCCTCATGAGCAGGACGTGGGTGGCGGGGGTACCATGGGCGGCCGGGTGGCCTCATGTTCCCATCTGTTTGCCCCTAGCTATCCTGAACCCAAAGCAGCCCAAAGAAACACCAAAAAGCTTCAGCTTTGACTATTCCTACTGGTCCCACACCACGGTAAGTGGCGGCAGGCATGAGCCCACCTGGCGCGCTGGGCTGGGGAGAGGCAGGAGGACCTCCTTGCCAAATTCTCCTTGTCCCCCTCCTCTCTGTAGCCCGCAGACATCAACTATGCATCTCAGAAGCAAGTGTACCGGGACATTGGCGAGGAGATGTTGCAACACGCCTTCGAAGGGTACAATGTCTGCATCTTCGCCTACGGGCAGACGGGTGCCGGAAAATCCTACACCATGATGGGCAAACAGGAGAAGGACCAGCAAGGCATCATCCCGCAGGTACCGCCTGCCCGTTCCCCTGGCCCCAGCGGGATGCCCAAAGGAAAAGCAGAGTGGGGAGGGAAGAGGGGAGCAGAGCCAGAGGGTGGGGGGACAAGGAGGGTCACGCTGACCCTCGGAGACCAGATGAATTATAGTCCGGCTGCATGAGGCTGGTGTTTGCGAGCAGTGGTAGTCCAAGCACCGAGCTGCTGCCAGCTGTGCTTGCCGAGAGCTGCCGTCCGCTGGCCCAGCAGGGTGCCGGGGGGCTCAGGGGTGCTGACCCCCCCATATCAGCACGGGGGGTTCTCTCAGCGCCTCAGGAGCTGACGCAGCACTCAGGGGCTCAGGTTTTTGGGGTGAGAAGGTAGAAATCCCTGTGGCACCCTGAGTAGGAGCATCCCCTGCCGGAGCAGGGGGCTGAGCAGCCTGGCTCTTCTCTCCGCAGCTGTGCGAGGACCTCTTCTCCCGCATCAACGACACAACGAACGACAACATGTCCTACTCTGTGGAGGTAGGCACCCCATTGCCTGCCTAGTCTGGGTCCAGCCTCCCACCTAGCTCTGAAGCCATGCCAGTGTGCAGACCCCCTTCTGGGGGCTCCTGTCCCTGTGTGCGTGGGGGGGGTGGGCAGCACCTTATTCTGCCCGCGTGCTGAGTGTCCACGTCCTGCCGGCTGCTAGCCCTGCCCATGCCCTCTGCTGTAGGTGAGCTACATGGAGATATACTGTGAGCGTGTGAGGGACCTCCTGAACCCCAAGAACAAGGGGAACCTGCGGGTGAGGGAGCATCCCCTTATGGGCCCATACGTTGAGGACCTTTCCAAGCTGGCCGTGACCTCCTACAATGACATCCAGGACCTCATGGACTCTGGGAACAAGGCTCGGTGAGTTGGGGAAGCAGGAGATGCCCAGCATTTGGAGAGCTTGTAGACACTGCAGAAGTTCCTGCTTGACTGCCTGGCTTTGCTGGGTCAGGCTGCTCTGGAGGTGGAAGTCCCCTCCCATCTGAGCATTGGGTACCCCCCCCACTTATTTGCACCGTACGTCCTTCATGCTCTCAAAACACTCTGAAGCCAGCAGGAGAAAGCCTGGACTTTTGCATGTCTCCTCCCAGAGTCCTCTCCCGGCCTCCAGACTTACCTTCCCATCATTACCCTGTCCTGAAATGAGCCCTGGCCCCGTTGCCAGCCACTGCAGTGTCCCCTGCAGAGTGTCATACCTCCCTGTCCTCCTCTCCCCACAGCACGGTGGCTGCCACCAACATGAATGAGACCAGCAGCCGCTCCCATGCCGTGTTCAACATCATCTTCACACAGAAGCGTCACGACGCTGAGACAGACATCACCACTGAGAAGGTGAGAGCGGGGCCTGGGGGACTCAGGAGAACCTGTATGGACCTGGAAAGGGCTTTGTGTGCTCTCGACAGCACTTGGGACAAGATGGTGTGGCCTGATGGAGGGTTGAAACAGGATGGAGATAAGTCCCAGGCACACGCTGGGCTCATGATCCCTCAAGGGACTGGCGCCTAGACAGGATATTTGGCAGCTGGTGCCCTCCAGCCCTGCCTGCAAGGATATTAGCCCTGCTCCTGGCCAAATCCCAGCGAGGATGACCTCGCAGAGTCCACCTCTGCCTTCAGTGTCGCCTTGCAAGAGGTTTTTGCTCCATCCTCCGCTCTGTGCCGGGGCCCGGTTTGCTGTGCCTGCCGGGGCTGACAGCCTCGTCTCTGCCTGCAGGTCAGCAAAATCAGCTTGGTGGACCTGGCAGGGAGCGAGCGAGCTGACTCCACTGGCGCGAAGGGCACAAGACTAAAGGTGAGAGCTCGCACAAAGTCCCCTTCTGCTGGCATGGACGCCGTGTCCTGCCCCCTCCTTCCTAGCTGTGACATCTCCTTTCCTTGCCTGGTTCTTTGCCCACTATGCTGCCAAAATCCTTGTTGGGGTTTTGTTTGAAAGCTGCCCAGTGCCAATTCCACTGGGGTCCATGAGTCCCAGCGGGGAGGTGCTGGTTACCCAGTACGACCAGCTGCCCTTTGCCTACCCCGTACTGGAGCTTCCCCACCCTCGTGGTGCGCTGGGCTTTAGCGCTGCTCTGAAATGGGGCCTGAGCATCGGGGCTTTTCCTCTCTCCACCAGGAAGGAGCAAACATCAACAAGTCCTTGACCACGCTGGGGAAAGTCATCTCTGCCCTGGCCGAAATGGTAAGGTAGCTGGAGTGCAGATGAGCAGCGGCACCGCAGGGGAGCGGGCTTAGCTCAGCAGGGATGGGCTCAGCTCTGAGGGATGGAGCATCCTGGCTCCGAGGGATGGGCGGATACATCCCAAGCTGTCCCCGGGGCTGGGATGAGCTGGGCTGGTGAGGCTGCCGTCTCCCTGGGGACCTGTGCCCACCACTCTGTGCTTGGGGGATGAGGAGCTGTGGTGGGTGCTGAGGAGGGGCACAGCTCACTTAAACAGTGTCTCCCCCTTTCTTTGCAGGATTCGGGACCGAACAAGGTGGGTGCCCTGGCCAGACTGGGGAAGGGAGGGTTGATTTTTACTGCAGTTGGGTGGGAGTGGGTTGCAGGGCGGTGGTTTGGGGGTCAGGCTCTGCCCGGACCCAAGCCACACTTCTGTGGGCTTGGCAGAGTCCTCAGCATCCTCCTCACCCTTCTCACCCTGTGGCTTGCGGTACCCAGTGTTAAAGACCCGCACTGGCCCAGGCAGGGCATTTCACAGGGAGGACCTGTGGAGCTGAGCAGAGCTGCCCAAGGTCACAGAGGCCAGGCAGAGCCATCCTCCTCTGAGTCCCCATGGCTGGGGACTGGCTGTCACCTTCCCTTTGAAGAGAGCAGGCAGCCTGACAGCCCTTCCCTCTGCTCTCCATCCCCCAGAACAAAAAGAAGAAGAAGACAGACTTCATCCCCTACCGGGACTCGGTGCTGACCTGGCTGCTGCGGGAGAACCTGGGTGAGGACGTGGGTGGGAAGTACGGGCTTGGTGGCGGGCATGGCTGCGGAGCGGAGGGTGATGGCTGGGGCGGGGACCAGTGTCTCTCTGACATGGGTGTATCTCTCTGGGCAGGGGGCAACTCCAGGACGGCCATGGTGGCTGCTCTCAGTCCTGCCGACATCAACTACGACGAGACCCTCAGCACCCTCAGGTAGGAGGAAGTACCCTCGTACCCCTACAGTGGGTGAGGGCAGGAGGGTCTCTGAAACCCAGGCACTGCCATGTGCTTTCCTCACTTTTTCTGTGGCAACCCTGTCTGGGGGTTGCTGTGGGTGGAGGGACCCTGACACCTCAGACATGGGGCCAAAGGATTGTCCCGGCACCGAGATCCTCCAAAGGA